CAGGAGTTTGGCCACTGCCCCGACCGCGCCGAGCTGGCCCCCCCTCCCCCCTAGAAACCCAGCGGATTGAATCAAGAGCGGTCGGATCAAAGATCTGGGTTCCAAAAGTGGGATTGCATCCCTCCCTTACTATAATATTATAGATCGATAGCGGGGTTATTTTAAATCCCGACGTAAAATCACACGGTTTTAGAAATCCCACCGGGCGGGATTTGCCCTTGCTTATGCAAGATGATCGAAGCTCAATTGATGACGAAACTTTTGTAACGCCGATGAAGGACCCACGACGACGAAGCATCATCATTCACGCCATCCATTCCATCGCACGCAACCCGGCGCATCATCCACCATGATCGCGCTCGTGCTCGACCCTCTACTGCCGCCGCCACGGCCAGCCTCCGGCCCAGAGACCAGAACCGCCGCACTTGCCGCCGCCTCGGGTCCACGATGGTGCCCGCGCTGGACCAGGCGAAGCGCGCCCTCGTGGCCCTGCTGCGCACGCTCGCGGCGGCGCACGCCTGCTCGGTAAAGGTCGCCAGGGACAGCGCGGACGCCAAGGTCCGCACCGCGTGCCGCGCGGTGTCGCGGCGCTACGCGGCAGGCCTGCTCAACGCTTGCGAGGAGATGGTGCAGAAGAAGGGTGCTTGGGGGTGAGTTGCGGGCTGAGCCTGCATGCGCTGCGCGCGCAACCAGTTCTGCTCGCCCATAATGAGGCTTCAGCTTCCACGCCGGACACACAAAGGCTTCGCCTGCCACGCCGGATAAGGAAGGCTACGCCTGCCACGCCAGATTTCCTGGGGCTCGATGCTCGCCGCGCGGTCTGAAATACCGCTACGCCGTTACAAAAGTTCGTCACGTTTCATGAGAGTTTGAAGATGGTATGGGTTTCGTGTCTCACTTTCGCGTGAGCGGGCGGGCAGAGTTTGGCCACTGTCCCGACCGCGCCGAGCTGGCCCCCCCTCCCCCCCTAGAAACCTAGCGGACTGAGTCAAGAGCGGTCGGATCAAAGATCCGGGATTTCAAAAGTGGGATTGCATCCCTTACTATAATAGTATAGATTTAAAACGGGGTTGTTTTAAATCCCGACGTAAAATCACACGGCTTTCGAAATCCCACCGGGCGGGATTTGCCCTTGCTTATGCAGAAAGATCGAAGCTCAATTCATGACGAAACTTTTGTAACGCCGATGTATGGACTCGAAACGGCCCAAGATGCCTTCAAAAGGGCCCGAAGGGGCCACGAGAGGACCTCCGACAGGGTCCGAAGCAGCTATGGATTCCCGTTGGGTTCTTGCATGGTTTTCGCAGTCTCGCCTTTTCGAGCTTCTGTCAATTCAAGACGATGACCTCGAGACGGCACAAGAGGCCCCTGAGAGGTTCCCACGATGGCCCAAGATGTCCCACGATGGCCCAAGAGGCATCCAAGACGGCCCAAAGACGACCCAAGAGGGCCTCCCGTGGGACCAAGACTGCCTGAGAAAGCTTCTCGAAGGCCCAAGACGGCCCCAAAACGGCCCCCAGACACCCACCATACGGCCAAGAGAGCCCCAAGACGGCCCAATTGAGACCCCAGACTGCCTATGAGGGCCCCAAGACAGCCCAAGAGGGCCCATAAAGGACCCAAAAGACTGCCTCACATTGCCTCACAGGAGGCCAAGGCAGCCCCAAGACGGCCCAAACGAGTTCCATGAGCATGAGAGCTCCTCAAATAGTGAAGACATGTGACGGTGTTCATCGTCGTCCTCCTCCACCTCGTCGTTCCCCTTCTCCTCCTCGTCCTCCTGCTCCTCCTGGCCATCATCACCAGCTGCATCAAGGCCACCACACAGTCCTCATCATCATGGTCATCCTCCTCCTCATCCTCATCATCCCCCTCCTCCTCATCATCATCATCAGGACCACCACCACCACCACCATCATCATCATCCTCATCATCCTCATCATCATCATCAACACCACCACCACCGCCACCATCAGCATCATCGTGATCATCATCATCAACAGCATCATCATCACCACCATCATCACCATCCTCCTCCTCCTCATCATCATCATCGTCCTCAACAGCATCAGCAGCAGCGGCAGCAGCATCGTCATGTTAATCAGCATCAGCATCATCACCATCACCACAATCGCCAGCATCATCATTATCATGGACACTGGCATCCTCAGCATCATCAACATCATCATCAGCATCATCATCAGCATCATCTTCAGCAGCACCAGCATCAACATCAGCAGCATCAACATCAGAATCATCATCCGCAGCATCGCCATCACTATCATCAGCATCAGCATCATCATCATCCTTATAATCATCATCGCCATCGTCACCATCATCACCGCCATCATCAGCAGCAGTATCATCAACATCGTCATCAATAGCATCGCCATCATCAGCATCACTACCAACATCAATATCATCAGTATCCGCAGCATCATTAATCATCAGCAGCAGCAGCATCACCATAAGCACTTGTAGCGTCATCAACATCATCATCATCATCGTCATCTTGAGCAGCATAATCAGCATGATCACCAGCAGCATCATCCTCACCATCATCAACAGCAGCAACAACAACGACAACAACAACAACAACAACAACAACAACAACAACAACAACAACAACAGCCGCAGCAGCAGCAACACCATCAGCAGCAGTATCCGCCACCGTGCCTCTGGGCACGGAGTGGGCGTGCCCTCAGGTCCTATGCCTAACCCCTGGAGCCTCAGTCCCATCATGATGAGTCTGTAAGTGACCTGGACCCCAATATCCGAACCTATTCGGGGAATTTCCCGCGTGCCCCGCAGGGACTCCACTGCATGTGGTCGCGTGATTTTCTGGGGCCCCAGGGGGCCCCAAGGTGGGCGAAGAAGACCCCGAGAGGCTACCCAAGATTGTACAAGAGAGCCCCAAATCGCCGAGCGATCGCTGCAAGACGCTCAAGATGACGCCCAGACGGCTCAAGAGGCCTCCAAGACGCCTCACGAGGCCTCGAAGAGCTCTCCCAAGCGGGCCCCCAGAGGCCAACATTATTGATGTGCCTTAGGTGGTTGAAGGTTGTTGGCGTTCTCGCCGTTTCGGCTTCCCGGCGCTACCAGACGGCCCTCGAGGCCCCGAAATCGCCCACGACGGCCCAAGGGACCTCCAGGAGGGCCCCAAAACTGCCCCAAAGGGCCCCAAGACGGCCACAAAGGGGGCCCAGGAGAAGGAGCACGACCTGAATAGCACAGCCTTCCGCCTGCAGAGGCTCCCTGGAGGCCCCAGAAAGCGCCCAGGAGGCCTCAAGAGGCCCTAAGAGGCCCCACAACCAATGGCCCCCAAGAGGCCTCCGAACTGCATCCAAGAGGCCCCCGAGAGGCCTTCCACGATATCCCAACGAACATACAATAGGCTTCACACCCACAAACCAGGCACGGTGGCGGGCTGGAACGACGGCAATTAGATTCCCACATGCATCAGCATCACCATACTCGCCAGCATCAGTAACCGCATCACCATCACTACCACCATCATCGTACTCCTCATCGTGACCACCACAATCATCAGCATCAGCATCATTGACATCATCATCATCATCATCATCATCATCATCATCATCATCATCATCATCACCACCACCATCATCAGCAGCAGCATCATCACCAGCAGCATCGGCATCAGCATCATCATCACCACCCCCACCACCATCATCATCAGCAGCACCATCACATGATCATCATCATGATCATCATCACCATCATCACCACCATCATCATCATCATCACCATCATCACCATCATACTCATCATCGTCATCGTCATCATCATCACCGCCATCTTCATCAGCATCATCATCACCACCTACATCACAATAATCATCATCATCATGATCACCATCATCAGCAGCATCCGCATCATCTTCAGTAGCAATAGCACCTGCAACATCAGCATCATCGACATCAACACCATCGTCATCACCATCAGCATCACCTATAATCACCAACAGCATGATCAGGATCATGATCATCATCATCATCATCATCATCATCATCATCATCATTATCATCATCACCATCATCATGAGCATCGTCGTCGTCATCAGCATCATCACCGTCATCATACTATTCGGCATCCTCATCATGATCAGCACATGCACCGGATCATCAGCATCATCATCATCGTCATCGTAGTCATCATCATCAACAACATCATCATCATCATCATCATCGGCATCATCATCAGCAGCATCATCAGCATCGCCGTCGCCATCATCAAAGCAGCATCAGCAGTCTCAACGTCGGCATCATCATCAACAGTATCAGCATCGTCATCAGCAGCAGCAGCCCAGCAGCAGCAGCACCACGAACACCGTCACAATCGTCAGCATCAACATTTCATCATCATCATCAGCAGCATCATCATCAGCATTACCATCATCATCGGCATCGGTGTTGTCATCATCATCGCCATACTCAGCACCATCACCATCAACAACACCATGACCATCATCATCATCATCATCATCATCATCATCATCGAAATCACAACCATCCGCATCATCACCATCATCATATTCCTCAGCACCAACAACGTACATCGACCGAATAAACATCACCATCATCATCACCATCATCATCGTCGCCATCGTCATCATTACCGTCATCATCATCAGCGGCAGCAGCACCAGCAACATCATCAGTATCAACATCATGATCGTTATCATCATGCAGAGATGATGATCAGGCTCGATGCTCTTCCCGAGCCCCAGATGAGCTTTGGCGGAAACCCCCGCTCCACAGTCCAGGCCCGCAAGGGCCACGCACAGAGGGCCTTCTCGGACCCGTCTCGCACACCAGGGCCGCTTCGGGCCCTGGCTCCACTCCGAGAGCCTCCGGAAGGGGCCGCACACTGCACGCCCTCACGGCGCCTCGTCCGAGGCGTGCGCCAGCACCATGCCATCGGCCCCGAGCTCGCTCTTGAACTGGCTCGCCTCCACTTTGTTCTCAGCCGTGGCTCGCCTCCGGCAACGGAACGAACCGCGGCCGCTGGCACTTCCACTTGTACTTGCACGGCGCCTGGCTCGTCTCGTCGATCATGATCGGCTGATTCGTAGTCTTCACCTTGGCTTTCCCGCTGGCGATCGGGCCATTGATGCCCTTCTCGCCCTTCTCGCACGTCTTCATCGGCTTGTCCGTAAACTTCACCTCGGGTGGCTCCATCAGCTTCTTCCTGCAGTAGTACCCGCGAGCAAGACCGCCTAGGAGCACCACCACCGTCATCATGATAATCTGCCCCGTGTACTCGTAGATCGTGTTCTGGATCGCCTCTGCCACCATGTTGGCAGCCCTTGGCTCGTAGCTCTCCACTGCACACGTCGAAGCCGCCGAACTCCCAGCAGCTCCCGAGCCAGCAAGGTGGCCAGCAGGCCTCTCCTTGCCCAGCTCATGCTCGTTGCCACCGATCACGCCTCCAGCCTCCTTGTGCTTGTCCATCTCGCCGCAGTCGACGACGCCCGCCAGCTCCCGAAAGTACTCGAAACTCGCCACTGGATGGGCCTTCGCGCCTAGGTCGGCCACGTTCTTCTCGCCGCTCTCCTTCTTCACGTCGAGACCGTGCACCTTCCGCCCCTGCTGGATCCGCAGCGCCCCGACGTCCAGGTGCTTCACCTTGCCGACGCCCTCTCTGTTGATCATCGCCTTCGCCGCGCTGCTGTCGATCCCCAGCTCCCAGGTCACCTTGTAGCCCAGCCAATCCAGCACGTTCTTGACCAGCTTTCCGCCCATCACCACCGAAGTCGCTCCGTAGAACTGTCCAGACGATGTCTCCTGGGCGCCCTGCCTCCTCGCGAACGCCGCGAAGTGCACCCCGTCAAGTTTCGCGAACCCGCCGGTCATCGCTCTCCGTGTCTCCTTGCACGTAGCGAAGCCCGTGTCCGTGAACATCTGCAACTTCACCTCGCCTGGCTTGCTCGCAGCCGGCTTCTTGAGCAGCGCGCCGTACGTCTTGGCCCCCATTCAGGTTCCCCGCGAGCTTCACCAAGCGCTTCCTGTCGATCTCCATTGGCTGGCTCAAGTGCCGCGTCAGCAACTGCACGCCCCTCTGGATGTCCGCTGTCGGGGGAGATGTAGATCGAGATCCCGACGCCCGTGCGAACTTCGCCTTTTCCACCTCGTCCAAGTCGGGGCTCCAGCTCGGACCCTCCTCCGTCAAGCTCGGCACCTTCGCGGGCTTCGCCTTCTCCGTGCCCATCGCAAAGATCAGGTCCTCGATGTGCTTACGGTTCGGCCTCAGCATCACGTCGCCGCTCATGAGCCGCAACCTGCGCCGATTCAGGTGAGAGTAGCGCCCTTGCCTGATGACGCCCGTCGCCTTCAAGTCGAACACCTCCCTCAGCCTCGCGATGATCCCGCCCAAGTTCTTCATCGGTCCTCCGCCGTGGAAGTCGACCATGTGCACCTCGATCAGGATCTCCTTCTCCTTGCGGTGATAGAACTGCGGCTCGCGCTCGCACCTGTCGAAAAGCCTTCGCCCCTGAGAGTCTTCGCCGCCTTATCTACCCACCCGGCGCCTGCCACACGCTGTCCAGGTAGCATCTTGTCCAAAGCCCAGACGACGTCGGTCGGCCTGCACATCTCCGCCAAGATGGCCAGGTACTGGGGCGGTGGCTCCACGCAAGCCTTCTCCGTCTGGTCCACCTGGTTGTAGGCCTTCACGCAGTCCGCGATACAGGTCCCGCGGTTCCCCCCCTGACGCTGACGAAGTCCACCAGCCTGCTAGTCTGCGCCGAGGAGCTCGCTGCGAACACGTCGCCCCGCTTTTCCATCCACTTGAACTCATGGGCCACGCATCTCCACCTGCAGACGCCTCACCGCATCTGCGGCCCCCAGCGCGCCTTGATCATCTTGAACTCCCCACTCTCGCTCCTCGGGATGTCCACGTGGACGCCGTAGTGCGCCAGCACCTCCAGCGCGCACCGCTTCCCTTTGAGCTCCACCGCGGGCCCCACACTCCTGGTCGCCACGTAGGATGCCGTGCCCAGGCTGTCCAGGATACTGTAGTCGATGGGGTCGTCCAGCGAGACCGCGTCCACATGCCTCGCTCGCTTCCCAGGTGTGCCGAAGTTTTCGCCGTCCGCGGGCCTGACCTGGCCCCTCGGCGTCATCGGCGCGTCCTCCTCCATCGCGTTCTCCTCCTGAAGTGTGGCTGCTGCCGCTGCCCTCACTCTAGGACCTGCCGGTGCCGCTGGTGGTTCTGCTGCGCCTCCTGCTGCTGCTTGCGCCCCCTGGTCGGGCGCCCCCTACTGCGGCGTCGCCGGGGCCGCCGCTGCCTCCGCCTCTGCCTTCGCCTTCTGCTCCGCCGCCGTCAGGGCGATCGTGGGTAGAGGTCGCTGCACCTTGGACAGCAGCTCGCAAGGCTTGGGGCTCCGCGCCTCCCAGGGTAGGGCCTTCACCGCCTTCGTCAGCTTCGCGTCAGCTCGCAGCGCTGGCCCCAGCCCCCCGTAGGTCCTGGCATGATGCCACCCCGCAGGCGTCAGGAACAAGCCGTCGTCGCTCTCCTTGTGCTTCCCGATCCAGATGCCCGCCACGAAGCTCGACTCGCCTTCGCGCCTGAGCGACGTCGCCGCGATCTGCCTCGCGTGGGAGATCAGCACCTTGAAGAGCGCCGTCTCCGCGACAGGGAGAACATCGCCGTTGTAGGTCACTCCGAATGCAGCCTGATGAGATGTCCTCCCATCGCCCCGTGGTCTGTACGTAGAGGTTGCCTAACTATCGTATCTCGTAAGCAAGCGCCAGATCGGTGCGTCCGCGGGGATCTCCATGCCGTAGCGCTTCTCCAAGTCGAACTTGTACGTCCTCACCTTCGCCTGAAACCATCTGATCGGGGCCTCGTTCGCGCCCATGCACTGGCTGTCCTTTTCTTGCGCGCCTCCTCCGCCAAGTTCAGGATCGTCGGCTCGCCGTCCGTCTTGATGTCCGCTGTCGTGAGATGCATGCCCTCGACGAAGCTGCACGCGCTGGCCACCGCGTAGTCGATGACTGCCTTGATTGGCATCGAAACCGCGTTGAACATCAGCGCGCCCCTGTCCGCCATCACGAGTGTCGTCGCGAAGATGTCCGCCGCCGGCGGTTCCTCGCCCCCGATCTCCGCCCAGTCGCCGTTGGTCTTCAGGTAGCAGAAGTCCAGGGTGATCTGCGCCTTCCCCGCGTCCTTCGTCGAAGGTGAGCTTCTTGCGCGGCTCGGTCGTCTCATTTCCTCTCGCGCGGGCCTCGCGCCATGGAGCTCTCGTGAGATGTAGAAGTTCATGGGCTGCTCGCTCTGCCTCCGCCGGCGCTGCAGGTCCTGCAACTTCACGCGGTGCGATCGCGGGCCCTCCCTGCGCGGACTCCTCGCGCCTGCGCTCCAGCTCCTTCATCCGGGCGCGGTGCGCCGTGATCCTTCGCTCCGCGTCGCTGAGTCTCGCCCACAGCTCGTTCTTCCTGCCGCAGATCGGCCGCCCCAACTCCCTGGGCCTGGTCCGCGTGTCCTCCACGCGGCTGTCTGGGTGCAGAACGATCTCCTGCCCTTCACGCAGTAGCGCTGGTTGCCGAGCTAAGCGTGCGCCAGCTCCTCCTGACGCTGGCGCCTCAGGCTCAGGTCGCGCCGCCGCAGCTGCTGGCCCCACCGGTGCTGCTGCCGCCGCGCCCCCGCTGCCAGAGGCCCAGGCGACGGCGCGAAGTCCTCCTCCCGCTGCTCGTTGGCAATCACACTGGCTGCAAACTCGATTGCCCCCAACGTCGTCTTGAAGGTCCTCGCGTTGAAGCCCAGGGCGTCTCCCCGATGAGACGTCGCCTCCTGGGTACATGCACGCGCCCGTCTTCGCGCTCAGCCAGGACTCCACAGCCTTGTCCATCACCTCGAGCAGCGAAAGGATCGGTTTTGAAACCGCGTCGCCCAGCCTGACGTCCGCCTTCAGCAACTTCTTCGTCTACTCGTTGTCGTCGTCGACGGCCGTCGGCACCGTAGCGATGGAGTCCGTCTTGATATACCTGCCTCTGCGCGCCCAGCAGCCTCGGCCCATCGCCCGCCATCTTCCTGCAGCCCTCGCCGAAGGCGGTCGGGCCGACGTAGCAATCGCTCGCCGTGTCCAGCGTGATGAAGGTGGCCCCGTCGAGCTCCATGCCGCAGCACTCCGCGTCGCCGTCTGCGGCATTCACCGCCGTGCAGTAGAGCTGGTCGTCGTCGCAGATCTCGCACTCGAACTCAGCGCACTCTATCTTGGTCACCGTCTTCAGCTCCGTGCTCTCCTGCTCGATCGCAGCATTGCCCTTGGCCTTCTCGTCGGCGATCCGCTTCCTGCAGTCTGCATTTTTGCGGCCCGTCTTGCGACAATAGTCGCACTTGCCCGTGAACGCGTAGCTGCCCTTGCCTTTGCCTTTGCCTTTGCCGTCTTTGCCGAAGCCTTTGCCGCCCGCAGCTGCTCCTCGGCCTTTGCCATCACCCTTCGGCATGTCCTTGTCGCGCCAGAAACAGTCGCGAGCCGCGTGGTTCGGCTTGTTGCAAATCTGGCACTTGTCCTTACCATCCTTGCCTTTGCCCTTGGAGATCGCGTCGACGTCCATGTCGTTGCTGCTCCTGCTGGCCGTCGGCGGCTTCGCGATCACCCCGCTCCGGCCGATCACCGCTTCGAAGATGCAGTTGCGCATCTGGCCGATGTCGCCCCACACGTCCCGCTACGCCGACCGCAGCACGGTCTTGACGTCGTCGGGAGCGTGCGCCATGATCGCACTCGTCTTCATGTTCTGCGTGACCTCCTCGCCCGTTGCCCGCTCGTAGCGGGAGACCAGCTCGTCCCATGCAACCAGCACCTCCGTGAAGCGTTCCTTGCCCTCGCGTTCCTTCCACCCGAGCGGCGTCAGGATCTGCTGGAGCATCTGCCCGTGCTCATCGTTCAGCCTCGGGCGGTACTCACCGTACAACCTCCTCATGGTTTCGAAGCCGTCACCCCGGGGGCGCAAGTTCACGATGCTCTGAGCCGTACCCTTCGTCGTGCTCGCCAGCAATTGGTACAAGCTCCTGCCCACCTGCACTCTTTGATCGCCCAAGTCCTCTGGCCTGAGCTGCTCATCCGCGTCTCTGGCCATCTCCAGGCCCGCTGTCCAGCCCAGCAGGCCACGGTAGCTCTCGAACGGGAAGATCCTGTCCTCGAGGTCCTCGCGCTTGCCCGAGAACGTCGGCACCTTGCCGACCCCACGCGAGTCCAGCAGTTGCACCCCAACTGCGCCCGCCTCGGCCGCCATGGCGCGCTAGCGCCACTAACCTCTTGGGAAGGTTCGATATCCCTCAGCTGTCACAATGCAGAGATGATGATCAGGCTCGATGCTCTTCTCGACCCCAGATGAGCTTTGGCGGGAACCCCCGCTCCACACAGTCCAGGCCCGCACGGGCCACGCCCAGAGGGCCTCCTCGGGCCCGTCTCGCACGCCAGGGCCGCTTCGGGCCCTGGCTCCACTCTGAGAGCCTCGGGAGGGGCCGTACACTCACTGACACCTGCAATTCTTCATCAGCATCAATATCATCACCATCACCATCACCATCATCATCATCATCATCATCATCATCATCATCATCATCATCATCATCATCATCATCATCATCATCATCATCATCATCATCATCATCATCATCATCATCATCATCATCATCATCATCATCATCATCATCATCATCATCATCATCATCATCATCATCATCATCATCATCATCATCATCATCATCATCATCATCATCATCATCATCATCATCATCATCATCGTCGTCATCATCATCATCATCATCATCATTATCAGTATCACTATCATCATCAATATCATCATCATCATCATCATCATCATTAGCATAGTCATCATCATCATCAGCATCATCATCATCACCACCACCACCACTATCATCATCATCTTCATCATCAGCAGCAGCATCATCATCAGCATCAGCATCAGCATCAACATCATCATCATCATCATCATCGTCACCATCAGCATCGTCATTGTCATCATCATCAACATCATCAACATCATCATCATCATCATCATCATCATCGGTTACATCATTATCATCATCATCATCAGTGTCGTTAGCAACAACAACACCACCACAACCATCACACTGATCAGCATCATCATCGTCAGCATCGTCATCATCGTCATCAGCATCACTATCAAAATCATCATCGTCATCATCACCACCATCACCACCACCATCACCATCACTACCACATCGTTTGCATCAGTAGCAGCATCACAATCACTACCACCATCATCGCACTCCTCATCATGACCACCACAATCACCATCATCAGCAGCAGCATCATCGTCATCAGCATCATCAGCATCATCATCATCCGCATCATCAGCATCATCATCTGTATCACCAGCAATACCACCACCACGATCACCATAATCAGCATCATCATCGTCAGCATCGTCATCATCGTCATCAGCATCACCATCAACATCATCATCATCATCATCCTCACCACCATCGCCATCACCACCAGCATCATCACCACAACCGTCATCGTCAGTATCAGCATCATCAGTCTCATCAGCAGCAGCAGCATCAGCATCGTCATCGTCAGAATCATCAGCAGCATCAGCATCAACATCATCAGTATCAGCATTAATATCATCATTGTTGTCATCGTCATCAGCATCTGCATCATCATCGTCATCATTCACCATCATCATCGGCACCATCATCACGACCACCATCATCAACACGACCACCATCACCATCACCATCATCATCATCATCATCATCATCATCATCATCAGCATCATCAGCATCATCATCATCATCATCAGCATCATCATCACCACTGCCATCATCACGGCTCTCCCATCCTGCAACAATCGACACCAAGAATGCTGGGCTGGCACAGTTGCAGAACTGGCTGCAGGCAGCTGGATCATCTCCCCACCATCCTGCTGAGTTGGGTGCTCGGTTTGAATCCGTAGCGCCCTGCGTCTCACCTCACCTCCTCCGAAACCCTCTTCCTCTGCCCTCCTCATATCGATCTCGGCATGCCCCTCACACGTTCCGTGGCGCCACAGGGAGCTCCACCAAAAGCTGCAGAGGCAGGGTATCGCTTTCGGACCCCCCACATGCACCTCTCACACGCTTCGTGGCCGCACGGGGAGCTCCACCTGAGGCCTCGGTGGCAGGGTATCGCATGCGGTCCCCCCCACCCCGTTCGGCACAGCCCTCGAACGCTTCGTGGCCCCACAGGACGTGCCACCCAAGGCCTCAGTGGCAAAGCATCGCATGCGGCCCCCCCCCCCGCCCATGTCAGCACACCCCTCGCACTTCTCGTGGGCCCACAGGGGGCTCCACCGAAGGCCTCGGTGACAGGGTGCCTGCGGTCCCCCTGACCATGTCGGCACGCCCCTCGCACGCACTTCGTGGGCCCACAGGGAGCTCCACTGAAGGCCTCAATGGCAGGGTATCGGTTGCACCCCCCTTAGCCTCTGTGGCACAACCCAATCCCATGCAGCCATGAGTTGCGCAGGATATGACACTCTCACGTGGAGCACAAAACGTGCTAAAGGTGTGCCGAAATGGGCGGGGGGCGGCATGCGATAATTACCCTGCCACTGGGGCCTTCGGGTGAGCTCCTCGTTGGGCCACGAAACGCGCGAGAGGCACATTGATGATTGGGTTTGGGCATTGCGTGCGAAGAAGCAATCGTTGACGCCCCCTCTCCAATGTCGGTGATCGTGGAACTTTCGAATCGCATCCGCCCAGACCGCGTTCCGCTCTGCTTCGACACTGAACGGGGGCGATATTGAAAAGGCGCGTCGACAATTTTTGAGGTTAATTTTGTCGAGGGTAGATCCTTCCGAGCTTCTTCGCTTCTTCGTCGTAGAGTTTATCTTTCTGCCGCGACGGGACGCCTCGTTGACGTTACCTGACGAAAGGGTGAATTCAGGTCGGCCGGTCGGCCCTGCGGCGACGCCTCGGACTGCAGTGAGGAGAAATGTCCGACGCCCGCCAGCGCGCTGAAGAAGCGGTCAGAACGTCCAGGGCAGGAGGACGCCGACTGTACACCCACTCCAATCCTGGCCAGGCCCACCACTAGAGGGCAAAACATCCACCCCCATAACGACCACCCCGATAAGCGAAGCCGTTTAGTAAGCGCACCAGGATAAGGAATCGAACAGGGTAGGGCTGTTGAGTAAACGCCCAGGGCCTTTCAGTAAACGCCAATAATCGGGTCTGGGTGGTTTTTCTTCTCTTGAACCGTGGACTCCGGGGTGGAGGAGGAGGGGGGAAGAGGAGGAGGAGGAGGAGGAGGAGGAGGAGGGGGATGAGGAGGAGGAAAAGAAGGACCAGTGTAAACCCAATAATCATCAACGATGTTGGAATAAAACCTCCCTCCAAGCTCCCTCCCCTCTTCATAGGCCCCTATAACGATTCATTTCTATCGAGGGCACTGCCCAGTTGGAAGACAACCTTTCGAAGACCCTGAAGCATGCATAAACATTGTTCTCGGGATTCCAACGCCACTGGTCAACCTGACTGTTGCGTCTTGGTGATCCTAACTAAATCGTGTCAGAACGCCATTCCTGCGACTTCAACAGCGCGAATCAGCATAACTGTTGCACCCGCATTATCCTGAATCCTCCAAATCACATTTTCTGGTACGTTGATCATGGGAATCCGTGAAACTCTCCCACAGTTTATGAACCAATGTGCGCGGCGCTGAAAGGATGGCCGCATTTTGACAAGGAACCACCCTCAATCCGTGAAACTCTTGCATATGTTTAAAGCGAATGTGCGCGGCGCTAAGGCGAGAACCACATTTTGAAAAGGAACCGCCCTCGATCCGTGAAGCTCTTGCAAATGTTTAACACGAATGTGCGCGGCGCTAGGCGAGAGCCACATTTTGAAAACGACTCGCCCTCAATCCGTGAAGCTCTTGCACACATTTAAAACGAATGTGCGCGGCGCTAAGGCGAGAACCACAGTTTGAAAAGGAACCGCCATCAATGTGTGAAACTCCTGCCTTTGTTTAAAACGAATGCGCGGCGCTAAGGCGAGAGCCACATTCTGAAAACGGTCCGCTTGCCAATTCCTAGCTTCACATTAATAAATGGTGAGGAAGTCTCAGTCGAAACGCCCGACCCGCCCTAAAAACTGGCCTCCGGGTGAGGCAGGGAGAAATGATTTCTAAGGAAAAGGAGTGGAGGAGGAGGAGGAGGAGGAGGAGGAGGAGGAGGAGGAGGAGGAGGAGGCGGAGGAGGCGGAGGAGGAGCAGGAGGTGGAGGAGGAGGAGGTGGTGAAGGGCGGGGGGGAGAATCGGTGCACACGCCCTCCTGGCTCGGCCAGGACGGCGCGCACGCCGACCCCGGGGCCCAAAATCGGCCTGGCCAGGACCCGTGCGGGCGCGCTGCCGGCGCCCCCTCGGACGAGGAGCGGCCGGGAGGCCCCGGCAGGCGGGAGCTGCAGCCACAGGAGCCCAGAGGCAGCCACCACGACCCTTGGCGGCGCGCAGAGGGGGGCAGGGGGGAGGGGGGGAGGCTTCTCGAAGAATCGCGGCAAAGGTTTTTCATAGTTTTCGGCCCGTCGGGCCCTCAGTGCCTCGGGACCGTCAAAAAACTACTCTGGATGAGAAAGCGGTCCCAGGGAATAGAACGAGAGCTCTGGGGGTCGACGTTATGAACAAAATCATGACGTCGGGGGAGGGGGGAAGGCTTCTTAGAAAAAGGCTGCTTCTTAGAAGGCACGGGCCTTGTCTGTAGGTGTAAGGCCCGAGGCTTCTAAGAAGCGACCTCCTTCTAATGAGTCTTCACCCCTCCCCCTACCCCCCTCTGCGCGCCGCCAAGACCCTCTGCACTGCCAGCCCTGTCATGTACTTCAAAAAACTTCGCACGGGCCACGGTCGGTACCAGAGGGCCGATCAGGGATGCCGATGCCCCCTCCGCGCGGTGCTGCTAGGAGGAGCCCGAGGTCGTCTTGGAGCCGCTCCCAGCGTCGGCTTCCCCATTGTCGGCGGAAGTTGGTACCGTTGCAGACGGAGACTTGTACCGGAGGAAATGGAATTCGCAGCAGCACATCCACTTGGCCAGGGGCGGGATCCGAGCGTAGACACCTGGCGGGAGCAGCCAGAGCGGCGGTGTCGTCCTGGCGTAGTCCTCCCACTGGCTCCCGCCGCCAGCCCTGTAGATCTTGGTCAGCCCTTCGCCCTCAGCGAACGGCAGACCTTGGGAAGGCGAAAACCCACCCCCCCACCCATGGTCCCGACCCCATCCCCGAACCCGCGATCCAGGGGATCGGGACTGGGGGTGGGGATGGTTTTTCGGAGTCCAAAGATGGAGAAAACGCCCCCCCCCCATCCCGACCCCTTGACTCGCCGGCTCGGGGATCGGAGCCAGGACTGGGGATAGGGGTGGGTTTCCGCTTTCCGAGACCCGTGAGGTAGAGCAGAATGAACATGGTGAACAAGGGGCTGCAGATGGCGAGCCAGGCCCAGCCACCCAGCTCGCGAAGCACGGGGACGGCCATGCTGAAGACGCCCCACCAGAGCATAATCTCACCGAGAAAGTTCGGGTGCCGTGAGTAGCGCCATAAGCCCACACTGCAGAACTTCTCCGAATTCAGCGGGTTCGACCTGAAGCGATACTTCTGCAGGTCGGCGCACACCTGAATCGCCCAGCCGGACACGCTCAGCAAAAGCCCGAGGGCGTCCCAGGGCCCCAGCGGTTCTTCTGCTGCCCGGCTGCTGTTCACCAGAATGACTGGCACCGAAACCAGGAACACCCACATCATCTGGAACACCCAGAAGATAAAGAAGCGGACGCAACTAAAGCGCACCTCGTCGAACCTCGCATCCTTGCCTCTCTTGCAGACCCGATATAGCAGGAACGCTCCAAGCTCACAGCGCGAGAGCACCACTGTGAGGGTTACCACCTTTCCCCGATCTTCCAGGGGCCCGCCAAGCAGCAGGGTCATGATGGCAATAAAGACGAAGTTCGCGGAGCCCGAAAGGTCTGTGATCATGTCGAACTGGCAAAGATAAGCCACGAAGAAGCAGGCAAGCTGCATGGCCACGGTACACACTGCACTCAGAGCTATGTGATACTCGTCTAACATCAAGGACTGCGGCATGGCGGCAGCGGATGCCCGAGGCGCATAGCACGCAACAGAGTGCGGGGAGGGAGGAAGGGAGAAGGGGCAAGGGGCGAGAGGCAAAAGGTAAGCTGGGTACGCTCGCACCTTATCTGACACTCTACCCCCACCCACCCTCCCATCCATTCCCACTGCGCCAGTCGGCAGAATCCGTGGGGGCTGTTTGAAGACCTTGATTCCCAAAATTACACAATCTTGTGATGCGCAATCAGAAAAGGTGGCTTGTACACTGGAGGAGGTGCGCGAGGAGGAGGTGGCAGATGAGTAGTTGTAGGAGGAGGAGGAGAAGGAAGAGGAGGAGGAGGAGGAGAAGGAGGAGGAGGAGGAGGAGAAGGAGAAGGAGAAGGAGAAGGACACGGAGAGGGAGAAGGTCAAGGAAAAGGAGAAGGAGGGAGGAGGAGGAGGAGGAGGACGACGACGACGACGACGGTGAGGAACGATTCGGAGGATCAGCAGCAGCAGCAGCAACAGCAGAAGCAAGATGAGTAGACGAAGCAGGAGGATCAGCGGAAGGCGGAGGAGAGGGAAGGAGGGGACGGCAACGGCGAGGGAGGAATCGGACCCTGAGAAATGGCCCGCGCTGAAGCGTGAGCGCCGTTCTGAACGGATCCTGAAATGCGGTCAGCGCTGCAGCGGGAGTACAATTCGTGAAGGACCGAGAAAGCTCTGATCGAAAAAACAGAAGTCCAGAGTGATGATATCGTGCTGCATGTGCGGAAAAGGCGAGGGGCAACCCTGAACGGTATCGGGAGAAAGATGAGACTGGCGATCATACTGGCGCTGGTTTCTGACACCTCGTGGACCGTCCAAACTTGAACGATTGGCGGCTTTTCGATCGCCCGATCTCTCCATGTTGGCCGATTCTAGGCCACTGGCGGCGTTCAAACTTGAACGCCTGCGCTGGGGTCGCCGCCGCGTCGACACGACACGGGCTGACCGTAAGGGGAAGCCAGCAAGCGAGCGAGCACGCGATGGCGGACCGGCGGGACCGGCCCTATGAGGGCAGCGCGGTGGGGCCGGAGCCCTCAGGAGTCGCTGAAGCGGGAAGTGGGCGTCGACAGTTGGTGGGGCTGGGAGTCGGAGGCTGGAAGCTGGTGCAGGGGGCGCGCATTCGTGGATTAGCGATCCATGGATTTGGCGCGCGGTCGCCAAATCCATGGATCGGGGGAGGTGCCCTCCCCAAAAAGCGGCCGGTGCCGCCTCGTTCGGCGGCGGAAACCTGCGATTTCCCATGGAAACGGGACCCGTCGCTGATGCACGCCCCCTTGATCCATGTTTTCGATCGCCTGATGGAGGTCGGTCAGGCTAAGTTGAAGCTGGGAAAGGAGGGGGGGAGAGCGCGCAGCCGGCGGATCCGGGGATCCGCCCCATGTGCAGGGCGGCGCGGCGGGGCCTCGGCCCTCGGGAGAAGCAATAATAAGTCCACGGCGTCTCACCAACGTTTTCGGGGAGGGGGAGGGGGAGGGGGGGAGCGGGAGGGCCGGAGGAGAGAGGAAGGAGGCGGGAGGGAGGGCTACACATCTGGCGCGCCACCGAGGCGCCCAGGCGGTGCGACGTGACCAGCGGCGGCTGCTCCCTCAAGGAGCACGTGGGATCCGCGCGACACAACAGGCTGCGGTCGCACGGTCGAGGGAAGCAAAGAGGCATCACTTCCACCCTCCCCCTGCAATTCAAAGCTGGCTCGGTTATGCATCACCGCTCGGAAACTCAAGCTCGGAAGGTCCGTAACCAACAGTGCATTGGGGGGAGGGGGAGGGGAGAGTTCAGACCATACGTCACTCATGAGTGTTGCTTCATTGTTTCCGACACCTGTACCAGGACGGCGCGGCGATCGCTACTGACCATCGCCGGCAACAGGAATGCACAGCAGTGCCACGATCGGCGACTCCGAAGGGGGTGGTTTGCAGAGGGCGCGGTTTGCAACAGGCACCCTGGGGGGCACCATGGGCGGCGGGCGGGCAATCACCTCGACAGAGTCCTCCGCGCCCCGAGGAGGCCCGACGAAGACCACGTCGCGCCCCACAGGCCCCAACGGCCGCGATCGCAAACCACGCCCCGGCGTCACCACGCCCGTTGTAGTCACCGACGCAAGGGGCATGAGCTACGGAGCACAGCGGAAGACCGCGCGACTCGACAGCGACCCGATGTGCTGCCTGGCGCGGAGACGCGGGCCAAGACCCAGCCGACTGGCCGCCAGTGGGGCAGGATCCTCGGGGGAACCTTCGGCACGGAGAGGATGAGCCGGCGAGGTCGGCATCAGATCGGAGGTCGGCCCAGGGGCTTGGCACGAGCGCGTCGACGCCAGAGGCGTTGGCGCCGAGGCGCTACGCGAGCCCCAGCGGGTCGTCGCCCGCGATGGCGTCCACCTCGGCAGAGGCGGTTTCGACCTGAGCAGGCTCGGCGAGCGCCGGCGGCTTGGGGCGGCTGCGGGGCTGGCCTGGTCCGCCTGATGGCGGGCGAGACCAGAGCGGGACGCCACGGCGGCCAGGTCGGCATCGGCGTAGCCAGCCTGCGGATGCGGACGCGCGCGGCGCCGCAGATCGCAGATGGTGACGGCGGTCAGGTGGAGAACCACGGCGTGCTCATGCCGCTGCTCGGAGGCCACGACGGTGCCAGTCGGAACTCTCGGGCATGATAGAGATGCGCCCCGCCCTGACCGCCTGCTGGCCGAGATGGCCCGCGGCCTCTTGAACCCAACGGAAATTGGATTTTCGCGGGCACTGGCTGAAGTTTGCCGCCAGCAGCAGGAAACAGGGGAAGGACCAGCACGAAGGGCCGCTTGAAAGCTGTCGGCCACAGCCTGGCGGACGACAAACTCGCGCGCGGGCCGCTCGGCGATCGCAGCAGGGTGGGGCAGGGCGGCCGCTTCGGCCCGCTGGGCGCCCAGGACGACGCCGCGGAGGCGGGCGGCCTTCGCCGCGACAAACTCCACAGGCCGCTCGCGCTCGGAGTGGGCCCGCGGATTGCGAGCAGGCCCCGTTGCCAGCGGCGTCGCCCACCTGAATTGAGCCCCAGGGCCGACGAGCCGCTCGGCTGCGCCAAGGGAAGACCGCCAGCCAGCTCCGCGCGCAGCTCGGGCGGTCGGGGTCCTCTTCGGCAAAGCCTCGACGCCGCGCGCGCAGCGGCGGTCAGTGCCCCCCACTCCTCGCAAGGGAGCGCCGTCGCGGACGGCCGTGCGTTGATGGGCCCAGCCGAGACACCGACGCGCGGCACGCCGCTGGGCCTCCTCGAGCTCGGCGCAGCACCGACGCACTGACAGGGGGAGACCAGGCCGCGGCGACGTGCGCCCGCAAGGTCCGCCGCCGCGCGCGGCCGCCGCCCGCGCGGTTTCGGAGCAGGGGGTGCTGCCACTGGGCGGCTCCGAGGCTGCGCCACGAGCTCGCGCCGGCCGCGCGGTGGCGCGGAAGGTCTAGGCCCGCAGCGCGCGGCGGCCCGGGGCACCGGATCGCGGCGACGGAGCACGTCGCACTCAGGAGACTGCCAAAGAGCCAGGGCATGAGAATAGTTTGGCGATTCGGCATGAGCGCCGAAGAGAAACCATGACCCCCGCAACTGAATGAAGGCCTGGCGCAGCCACCCAACCAGCCCGCCCCCGCCCAGACGCCGCACTGTGGAACACGGGGGCGCGACTGTGCCCGAGAGGGACTGACCCCCAAAGCACCGTCGACAGCGGGCGAGCAGGGCCTATCGATACACCACAGCTTGGCGCGCCGAGGGACGCGCGCGGCCACGAGGACGCGGCGCCGCGGCCACGCGCTGCCTCTGCGCCGTAGGGCGGCGAAGACTGTTGCAAAGCGAATACTGCTGAAGCAGTCCCCCATCTTTCCGGTGCCGCGGCGCGGGGGCCTGTCCCCGCGGCGCGGACGCTGCGTCGAGAAGCTGACCGTGGAGATCTCCTGGGGATGGGGCCATGCGCAGCCAAACCCGCGCAAGCCAAGTGCCTGCCTGACAGACGTGTCCGACGCGCATCGCGCTCCATCTCAATGCTCGGCACCTTCGAAACGAATGCAGTGGATAGACGAGCAGCGCTGGAAGCTCAGCTTGTCCTCCAACCAGCGTGGTGGGCTCGACAGGCTCGAGTCGCAAGTCTGCGTCGATCACAAAGGGATCTCACGGTCCTCACGTTGCGCAACCAGCTTTGTTCACACACGAAGAAATCGATCGGCGAGTGGGCGTGCGATGATACGTTCTCCCTGGTTGGGCGGCCCACAGTCTAGCACGTGGCAAGGCTATCCAATGGTAGCTCCTAAATGGTGTCGGCCAAACACATGGTGAGCTGGGTGCACGCCTCCACCGTCAGATGCCGTTTGGCGTCCGGCTTACACTCCAGGTCAGGGGATGCAAACATACGGGGCCCTACCACACTCGATTCGCCGACAAACTGCTCGCATAGCCTCGCGGTCGTATCTCCCAAAATCAGCTCAGGTCCGCGCGCCGACGTCTTGTCCACCAAATCCGAGAGGTCGTTGAAGAAACTTGGCTTTTAACGAAATCTTTACCGCTGCGTGGAGCGCATGCTGAAAATAGAGCGGTTCTACCGCCGGGAACCCGTAGTTTCAGAGATGCCTCTCTGGATGTCACTTGGCGGAATGCAGTAATGGATCTCCGTGCACGCGGCGCAACTATGAAGCCGTCGCCTGCTCGATCCTCGTCTTCGTCTGCTCTGCTCTCAGCGCCCCCTGGTAGCCTAACGAAGTACCCCGTGTCTGTGACAAACGTGTATGATAAGGTTTGCTATGTCTCCTGAATCCATCATACATTAATGCTTTCCCGTTCCATGATACGTTCAAGCTCCATTTGCTTTACAGTGGCGCACTCCTCGATGTTCAACGAAGCCATCGTGAATTCGGAACTGGAGGCGCGCAAACGGCCGCCCCGGGCAACAGCAAGTGGCGTCTTGGCTAAACCATTCGCCCCAACGTGTTCTGCAATAGTGTGAGGATGTGGTTGGAGAGCCTGGCACGAGGACAGGGCTCCACAGCTCTGGTGTGAAACGTCTCTGCTATCGCACCGCTGGCACCCCTACTTGCTGTGCTGTCCGCTGCCTTTCCATGGAGATTTCCCCCTGGCCCCTATCTTCCTCACGCCGTTGGAAGCGACAGTCTCGAGCTTGCCAGTAAGCTTAGGCATGAGGTTGAAGAAATCGGGACAAGCTGTATCTGTCAACAAGGACTCCCCACCATGACCGTAAGCCACGTTGAGTTTGCCTCCGTCGACCGTCGCGTGGACCACCATCTCCGCACCTAGCCAGACTTTGCCGTCATCGGGGTCCGCCCATATCGTCTTCGCCTCGCACCCCCATTGCTTCAACAAGTACTTCAAGCCGAAAGCGAATGAGGTGATGACCCGCTTGGGGAGGGGCTGGTCCGCTTTCGCCCAGACTTTGTTTCCCCCTTCCTGGCACGACGCTTTGCGAAACAGGCCCACAAATGTGTCTCGATCCCCCGCGCGAGGAAATTTAGCGAATGCCACGCCCCGGAATCCCCCTTTAATGTACACATATTCCAGCTGTGGGCCATACCCGTCCCAGAGCTTTTTCCCCAACCACTCCTTCACCTCCTCCGAACCCCCAGGCGACTGCAACCCTCCAATTACGAATGTCATGTCGATGTCCGGGTTCGGGTGCTGGTAGGCCGCATTCTTGAGCATCGACACCTCCATCTCCAACGCCTTGATCTGGTCCAAGACCTCCAGCCTCACACTCTGCTCGGACCTCGGGGCTTCGCTGATCAGCTTGGTTTTCGAAATTCGTGATGCGGATGTCTACGTCCCCCACCTTCCCCTCCAATACCCCCTCCTGGCCTCGATCGCCTCTCCCATGTCCGAGATCTTGCTCTCTAGATTCGTGATCGCCTTCCGCAAGGGGTTCACCTGCTGCCTGAGCAACGCTGCGATCTCCTGCAGGCCTGGAGGTTGGGACGCGCTCCCACTGCGAGCATTCGGGGGCGTGTCGGGGACCTGCGGCGGCGTGCTGATGCTGACCTCCTGCGGCGGGCCGTCGTCCATCTCGTGCAGTGGACTGAAGAGCCGGCGTCGAAGGTGACTCTCACATTCTTCGCCAACTGGAGTGCCCGGGATACGAGTGCGATTCGCAGCATCGGCCATGGTAGCACTAGAGAGGTACGGGTATGGGAAAGGAAAGGGAATAGTTGAGGAGGGGAGTAGTTGCGAAAGAAAAATAATAAGTATCAGCCTCAGGTTTCTTGAGCCAAAATGGTTTCTTGAGCCTCAGGCTTCGGATTGCAAGCGCCAGTTCGCGAAAAGACCGAGGCCACCGCACGCGAGAAGTGGATGTGTGTCGCAGGCGCAGACAGCGGCCGTGCGGCAGCGGCGTGGGTTCACAGCGCCGACACCAAGGCCACCTGCTACCTGCACACCCCGCCCGACGGGAACGACGCTCTCGAATGTTTTCACGGCGTCGAGCGCCTCCCCACTCCTCCCCTCGCGCGGCCGGCCTCGTCTTCTTTCATTCCTCTTGCACGCCAGACACGTCGCCTGACGGTTGCCCCGATTGGCCTCACGCTGGCGCGGACTGCCTCTGCCTCGCCGCCGACGGGAGCAACAAGTTTTCACGGCGGCTGATGGCCCGCAGACCTCGCCTCCCCGATCGGATCGGATGCTGCCGACGACGAGGCCCCGGTGAGCGGACCCGCTTCGCCGCCTGCCCACGCGTGCGGACCCAGCCCGCCGCGTGGCCCTGCGTGCGCACCCGCGCTGCGACCCGGGGTCGAAACGTGGGAGCCCGTCCTCGCCCGCTGCCGCGCGGGTGGGGACCTCCCGACGCGGAAAGCGCTTCGGCACGATCACGACGCGGAACTCGCAGTGCCCTGCAGCAGCTCCGACCTTGGAGCTCGACGACGACACGCTCACTCGCTGTGGTCTCCTTCGCCCCGGGCACCAGGCAGGCGGGCTGGACGGGCAGACAACCAAGGAGGCCAAGGCCCCCCATGATGGGGCTCTGCGCCTTTTTACTGCCACCCTGCGCGTCAAGAAGGAGTAAAGCCGCCCGCCTACTGGTGAAGGAGCCGTGGTGGGCCTGAACATTGGCCGTGGCAGGGTATGTCTTTCGCGGAGCATCCTGCCAGCCTCAATGCCGCGCAGAGGGAGGGAAGGAGGAAGGAAGGAGGGAGGGAGACAGGGAGGAGGGTGGATGAGGCTGGATCTGAAGCCACACGCCCCTTGAGCCAGTACGGCAAAGTGCTTGTGAATCATAGACGGTATTTTGCCGCTGCTCCCACGATGTGCGGCTTGCCCCACCCCACTCCCAACTGACAACGCCCTGTTGCGTGGCAGGTGGGCGATCGGAGGGAAGGTACTGAGCGAGACCAACGCCATACAGTTGTGTGGGGAGACCGACATTTATATCATGTAGCAGATGCGGTCGTGTATCCACCACCGACCCTCGGTACCTGCTGTGTTGCTCCCACGCCCAGTCGGAGCCAGAATTTGGCCAGGATGAAGAGTGGGCGTTCTCCCCATCCAAAGGGCCCGCCCACTGTGGTTCGAGAGGCCACTTTGGAGGATCCGTGTGTAGTACTCCCTTTTGCCACGGCGTTCTTTGTCCTTCATCTCTACGTCCTTCATGTCCTCCCTCTACCCCTCCTCCTCCTCTTTTCGCTCCCCCATCATCATGCATGCTCCAGGGGACATTCATTGGGCCGTGCGAGTCTGAAGGTCGCCAGGCAAACAGGGAACACCACACGAGACGACCTGCAACAGGCAAACCAATGCAGTGAATCGTGGCCTGAGGGAAGAGGCGGCCGTGGCCTCTGCCACCTCCTCCTCCAACCATCTTCCTGTAAAAAAGTCCTTCCCGTCGCACCGCAAAACGTGCCATCAGGGCGAGACGGGCGTTCCGCCCGAGACGTCCCCACCACGTACGGCCTTGAAGAGTCGAACTCGCACGGTCTCTGGCTGAGTCGTGGTCGAAGGGAGCTCTGGCCTTGGCGCCGCCCACGCTCGTCCGAAACATTTCCACCAACTGCACTGAGGGCGAACGGGTGGTTCTCAAACTGCGGTTCTCGCTTCGGCGCCGCGTGCACCCGCATTGAAGCAATCGAACACCTACACGGGTGGAGGGCGGGTCTTTTTCAAAGTGGGGTTCCCGCGTGCCTCGAATTGCATCCTATTCAACATGGGGGGCCCTCGCTTGATGTGTCGCTCGAGTGTATGATTAAGCGTGGTCAACTAAACTGCGCAAAAGCTAAGCGGATGGAAGCGTAACGATTTTTTTCTTAAACCGAGTTCGCGCCTGAATTGAGCGGGGGGGCGCTTCACGCATTTGAAAATGCTTGTACACACGAATGACTGGAACATGGGGCATGGGGCTGGGAGGGTGTATCGCTACATCGTTGGTACGTCTTGGGTGGACTCTAGTCCTCCTTCTCACCCTCGTCCTCCTCCCCCTCCTCCTCCTCCTCCTCCTCCCCCTCCTCCTCCTCTTCCTTCTCCTCCACCTCCCCCTCCCCCTCCCCATGGCCAACCGTCGCCTCGCGGCATCATTTATACGCGGGCATGCGCATCAAAACACGTGCATCGCCAACGTGGGATGCTGAATTTACCAGACGCAAGGCAGCGGCGCACGCAGATCCGGAGCAGCTGGAGCCACAGTCCAGGGAATGGTACCTGGCGGCGGGACATGATTTGGCTGATCACTATGCCAAGTTAGGTGCGGCGTCCCTGGAGCAGCCGTCCTGCGCGGAAAGGGAGACCCATGCCGAACATGCATCCACTTTGCAGCAAGATGTCTTCGATACGTTGCCAAGTGTCTGCTGCTGCACCCGAGGCTGGCGCCGTCGAAACAAAAATGAGGTATATCCTGAACTCGGCGTTGCGGACCCTCGGTGATGGGCCTGTTTTCCACCACCACCACCACCACCACAAGTTGGAGGGAGGAGGGGGTCCTCCTCCCCCTCTTCTTCCTCCTCCTCATCCTCCACCTCCTTCCCCCCTCCAACTTGTGGTCGTTGTGGTGGAAAACAAACCCATCACTCGGTTTTACGACAGGGACCGCGGCGGCCAGGCCCCGCGACACCGGCAGGGCGTCGGAGCAGCGGGGTGGTGCGGGGGGGGGGGCAGCGGCCCGAGCGCGCGCGCAGGCCAGGCGGAGAGATCGGGCGCTCTGCCAGGTCAGCATAAGTTGGGGCACGCAGAGACACTCTAATACCACATGCCCTCCTCGGAGGCGCGCATCCGACCCAAACATATGATATACCCATTTTGTAGTACATCGTTTCCCGAGCGGCGTGGCCAGAAAGCGCGCGCCACGACGCATATGCTATAAGAGTTCTCGGTGCGCGCGTCGCCCCTGGCGAGCGACGCACATATAGTATAAGTATGTTGGGGTGACGCCGATCGGTCGCAAGCAGCACCAGCAACTATTCCTCACGGACCCGCGAAACCTTCTGGTCCAGCAGCTCCAGAGGAAGAACCAGAAGAGGCCAGTTGTTCCTTTACCCCCGCCAACGACTGGGCACCAATTCGAATGGATCAGACACAAATGGGCGTGCCAAAAATGCCTTCGGCGAACTCGCAGGGACCCGTCTTTTTTAGCTTTCCCCTGCGCAGGGCACAGTGCAGTGCTCAGCGGACTCGTGCGTGAAAGGCGCGGGCACGCGAAGTTCGTCGCTTCTACCCCAGACGGCATTTTGGTTGTATGCAAAAAGTGCGGATGCATGTCGGAGGGAGTACGCATTAGCAATCACAGCGAGCGCTGCATGCAAAGAACGCCCGACCAGCGCTCACACGAGAGCGAATGTCAACATAAGTCGTAACGGCCAGCACCCGTCACACAAGAAAGGGGACGCGCAGGTGCTGGAAGAGCTGGTCCCTATCGACGGTGTTATATCTGTATATATAGATATGTGTCATATCTCCCTATAGAGGGTTCACTGATGAGGGTATCGTGGGGAAGAGAAGTAAAATTAGGCGGGAGGTTTGGACCGAAGGTTAGCTCTGCGTTCGGAAACCATCTATCCCACTAGGTAGGAAAAAAACATGTTGCGCATGAACAGGTTACCTCGGTGCTCAGAAACCAGCTATCCCACTGGGTGGGGTAAGCGATGTCGTCCATTGCCGACGGTGGCCCCCAACGCCGTTTTGGCTCAAGCGGAAAAGATGCTTCACGCGTTGCCGTGCTCATGGGCGGTGGCCCCTCGTGCACTGCCACACCCATGCCGGGGCTGGGGCCCCTCGTGAGTTGCCGTACTGATGCTGGGCCTGTGGGCCTTCATGCGTTGCCATCGCTTGGCAGCGCGCACGAGGGGGTAGGGAGAGGGGGGAAGGCTTCTTAGAAGGGGGCTGCTTCTCACAGGCGGTGGCCTTGCATCTATAGAGAAGGCCCGCGCCTTCTAAGAAGCAGGGGTGCTTCTAAGAAGCCTTCCCCCTCCCCCTACCCCCCTCTGCGCGTGGCTGAATCTCCCAAGCCATGCATCCTCTCCTGCTCTCCACCCATAGGTGGGCCCGTTTTGCTCCAGCGGCGCGTTTTGGTCCACCGTTCAAAGATCAACCTTCGGGCCCCTCAAGCGGAGTTGGGCGTGCTGGCCCATCCGCTATCGGTCTTAGGGCTCTGGCCCCTCCTGCGTTGCCAAGTGGAGTGTTGACCCCGCGCGCGGTGCCACGCTCATGCAGGGGCTGTGGCCCCTCATGCGCTGCCATTCTCATTCTGGGGCTATGGCCCCTCATGCGGTATCTTTGCTCTGGCGCCGGACTTGGGAACTCCATTCCAAAATCCGGCTGAGGGGCCCTGAAATGGATTTGGGAGTGCTGGCCCATCCGCTATCGGTCCTGGGGTTGTAACCCATCGTGCATTGCCGGCTGGAGTGTTGACCTCAAGTGCTATCATGCTCATGCTTAGGCTGTGGCCCCCCATGCGTTGAAATGATCCTGCTGAGGCTGGGGCCCCTCATGCGTTGCCACACTCCTCAAGGTGACCACACAGAAGTCGCGACTTTCGCGACCAGCCCATGCCATTGGGAGGTCTAGCCCTTCGTGAAGCCACCCGCATCGCACTCAAGGAGCCCCCACGAGGGGCCCACGCCGGCCCCGATAGGGGTCATGTTTAGGAGCCTAAATCCCGAGCGCCTTTCGCACGCACGCACGCTTCGTCGCTATCCCTGCTCCTCTGCCTCGGTGCGGCGATAGCGGATGGACCGGCACGCCCAAAACAGAGGCAGCAGAAAAGCCTTAAACTGGCGACTCAGTGTGCTTGACAGCCGTTGGGCAGCCCTCTGGGCGGTAGGTGGTATTGATATGTGTAAGGCCTCTCAGCAGAGGGGAAGCCACGGCGCAATCTCCACTTCTAGTCGGACAGGTTGCTCGTGGGGCCCTTTGTACATATCGTGAGCTTGGGCCAAGCTTGAATCAAGCCTGTGCAGTATAAGGTGGACAACATCTGACACCCAGAAGTGCCCCATGGCGGGGTTCCTTGGGTGGGCCACGCAGGGAAGCTTTGAGGCCCCGAGAGGGGGCCCAAGGAACCCCCAAAAGGGAACCCAAGGAGCAAAGGGCCCAGGGAGGCCCCAAGAGGGGGCCAAGAGGGCACCGCAAGGGACCCAAGAGGGCCCCGCGGTGACTTCTTGTGGGCCCCCTGAGGCCCTTCTGTCTCTGCTGGGACTCTGTAGGGATGCCCGCAGGGCGATGACCCTGCATGCATTGGCACTCGGCAAACAAGCTCGGCGCACATGATGCGGGTGCCCCTCACGTAGGGGAGTGATCCCCTCAAGGTGCACCCTCCATGCCTTGGCTTGGTCCACCCATGCGAAATCACGCGCTTAATTCAGAGGCAGGGAGGGGCGCGGACCCATTTGGAGCCCGCTTGCTCCCCTGAGGGGAACTGATGGGCAGTGCACGGCCAAAGACTCATCAGAATGCGGATCACTGCCGCGGCAAGCTCGCTGCCCCGACCTGGGATGCCACCCTGTAGGAGCCCTGAGTCGACAGGATCACCTGTGGGCATAGGGTGAGGCGGAGGCGGCGGCCAGAGAATGCGATAAAGAGTTGGAGCATCGACCGGTGCTCCTCACTAGGCATCTCAATATCGTAACTGTCCGCCGTTCCCCACTTTGAACCGCGTGGCAAGTCTCTCGCTTTGGCCAGACGCGACTCCCCTAGGGGCTGAGTTGTGTGAGCCTGACCCGCGGCCTAGGGCTACGTTCAAGACTATCCTCCCCCTCCCCCTCCCCCTTCCCCACCTCCTCCTCCTCCTCCTCCTCCTCCTCCTCCTCCTCCTCCTCCTTCGGCGTCACAACTACTCCGCGTGCATCACCCCCCCCAGGGGCGACGCGCGCGCCGAGAAAACTTTTAGTATAAGCTCCGTGGGGGCGCTTTATGACCACACCGCTCGGGAAATTATATACTAC